TAATCTTCTCACCAAGGTCGATTCTCGAGTCGAATCCTCCGCTAGCACTCAGGAGGTAGAGAGTAGTTTCCCCATAGTAGCTTTTCCCGGTCTTGTCGACGTCAGTCTGTGCAAGAACTATAACAGACGTTCCAGTGTTGTTCCACTTCAACTGAACCTTGTCGCCCTTGAAAAAGTTCTTCTGCGAAACAGGAGAATTGAATTGCGGTACATTGAAAACCTTGACTGACGCTGGCATACCCTATAGATTACGAATAGCGTTAACATGCAAAATATAAAAGTGGAACAAATTGGGGGTTCAGCTAACCTTGCGCTCTGGGATGAACACCGCAATTGAGTTACTCTTTCCAGGGGATAGAGCAAAGTCCACCACTCCTTCAACCCGCAGCTTATTCCACACCTTCCCGAGCTGCCCGCTCTCATAAAATTGAACTTCATTAGTGACAACTCGAGCGCAGAACTTCTCATCAGCCGTATATTGCAGATTCCAGCCAGTCTGAGATTTCTGCACAAAGCTGCCAATACTGGTATGCTCTTGGTTGCTGCTGTCACCGTCGGGCAGGCCCGGAACAACCTTCCAAACCTTCAAGTTTTTGACGGCGTCACCGTTCTCGTCTTTCGAAGGTCGTTGCCATGTGATGATGTATGATCCAAGAGGTGAGAACCCCAATTCATAAACATTCTCGGCAGGGAGCGTAGTAATTATGTGACCAACAGAGGGATCCACAACCACAACACTGTAGGAAATATCGTTTTAGAAAAGGTCACATGCAAAACGGATAGGTGAAAACAGGAGCAAGGAAACGTAAGGACATACCCTTCCGGAGCCGCCCAGGCAAAATACCGGCCGCATGGAGAGTAAGTGCAGCAGCGCAAGTTACCTGTTGGTCTGCGGGAACCCAATTAGCACCCAATATACAGCTGCCACCAAATGATGTGCATTGCATACCTCGAAAACCCATGTAGTGGCTCATAAACTGGAGATGCATCCACAATAGCAATACCCTTTTGTGTGCGGTCTAGAATGTGTCAGTATATGATTCTCTTTTGGACTAACTGTATGCAGATGGAGTTGCACAAAGCCAGTGAATTTAATTTGACAACGAAACAGTGACAGTGATAACTCACAAGCAAACTGATTTGGAGTTGTCATGTCTACTCAGAGGCACAGGACAAATTCAACTTAAGATGATGGGAAACCGAATGGAGGACTTTTGAGAAAACCCCAGGGAAGCGACAGAGCAATCTGACAGTCAAAGTTATGAATTCCTGGAGCTATGGTGCTGTGTATAGCTTTTGAAAAATTTGCACACATAAGCCAGGTTTTCCGTTCGAAACGTTTGCTTCGATTGCCTTTATACCTGTAGGTTTTATCTTTGTGCCCGTTGGCTGAAACGCAGTCAATTCCCTCAAGCCAGCAAATTGTAAAGTGCGCTCTAACATGCAAACAAATATACCCGTTATATTTGTTTGCCTGCTTCCTTTCTTTTTTCTTTTGCTTCTCTCGAACTTGACAAGTAAATGCCAGCGCTTGAAACAGTAGATATTACGCGAACGAGAGCCGAACGGAAAGAAGAAGTAAAATGCTGTCTTGAGGAAGGAAGGAGCTTTTAAGCAGCAGGATCGAGCAGTACAGAGTCGGTAATCCCAAGGACTGCCTGAGGGGAGCCAGCGGGGGTCGAGGGT